ACTATCCTAATTAAGTAACAAATAAATGTGTCTAATTTTCAAAAAACTTTTTTATTTATTTTTCCCAAAATCAAATCCAACATATAATAAGGCTCACGGGCCTGGAGATCTATCTATAGACATAATCAAACATGCCACCATGAAAGTCCTGGAAATAATTTGCAAGATATTTGATAAATGTGTTAGAGGAGAAGACATAACGTAATCACTTGGAATATTATATGGAAGAGTCCTGAAAACTAGGATAGAAAGGGAAATTAAGGAGGAAGAGGAACAAAGTGGTTTCATACCTGGAAGATTTATTCAAGGAAGGGAAATACATATTGCATACATAAATCTGAGAAAGGCGTTTGATATGGTCCCGCTTCAGAAATTATGGATTGCCCTGAAAGATGCAGGCATCAACAGAACTGCTGTTGAAAGCGTTATAAAGGAATGAAGCGGCAGAGGTTCAGGTAGGAAAACTCACAACTGATGCTTTCTCTCCTAGAAAAGATGTCAAACAAGGATGCTCGCTCTCTCCCACAATATTCAAGATCTACATCCACTCAACCCTAAAACATTGGAAAAGGAAATACAACCAGTTGGGAATATGGGTAGAAGACGGCGACCAAATAGTTTTTGCAGAGGATGAAGAGGATATGAGGTATATATATGTTAAATAAACTAGAAGAAAAATATGGTAATATGACAACCCTGAGTTTTTGGCCGTTAAGAGACGCATGGCTAGACCAGAATGTTTCTAGTTCTAGGTCTAATTTTAGTTCAATAAAAATATGCAACAGAGTGATATCTTATGCTAACTAGCGCTACCTTCCACTGTCACTAGGACTAACATTAGACCTAAAACTAGAAACATTCAGGTTTAGCCGCGCGTCTCTAAAGACTGCTAAACCTGAATGATTCTAGTTCTTGTGTTAGCTCTCGTGATAGTGCTAGTGAAAACTAAAATGTTTCTAGGTCTAGTGTTAGCTCTAATGATAGTGCAAAACTAGAACTAACACTAGACCTAGAACTAGAAACATTCGGACTTAGCCGCACGTCTCTCAAGACGGCTAAACCCGAATGATTCTAGTTCTAGGTATAGTGTTAGTTCTAGTTTTACACTAGCAGTATCACTGAAACTAACACAAGACCTAGAACTAGAATCATTCGGGTTTAGCC